AAACCACAACACCCAAGTAATTGTAGGTCTGAGTGTGAGCATCCAAGTGAGAACGCGCAGGATGAGGTAGCACCGGGACCCGTCCGGGGGTCTCCGGCCGTGGGAGCCCTGAGCAGGGGAGGAGGAGGAGGAGGAGGGAGCGCTCATTGGCAGGTCGCTGCTGTTTCTCACTCTGCCCTTGAATAACGAGCAGATCTAACTTCTCAGCATTTCTTTAAAGGGGGCAAGTCTGAGCGCTGCGTCCCTATGGGCCAGGGGTCTTCTTGGACCCTCGCGCCGGGGAGGGGGAGGAGGCAGTGGAAAAACCTCAGCATTGCCCTTGGGGACAGGAGGGCTTGGGGTGAGGCTGCAGAAACCCTGTGGCTGCAGAAAAATGTCAGCAATTCCTGTCATTTCCCGCGGTCTGGCTGGTGGGAAGCAGCGAGAGATGCCAACTGCATCCTCCCAACGGAGCCAGGGCTGCTGTGTCCCCCCAGGACACCCCCATCCCGAAGCCAAAGAGCCTCTCGCCCGTGTTTTGCAGCCAGGAGGGTCCGAGGGTCACCAGAGGAGCCAGGAGCAGCGCTGGCTTGCGCTGCTTTTTTATTCCCAGCCTTACCATTGCAAGCCTGGATGTTAAAATCCAGGCAAAAATAAAATCAACACTACCAAAATCCCCAGGTGGGAGCAAGAAGTAACAGCCTCTCCTCTCCTTTGGCAGCTCCGAAGGGGTGTTACGGGCTGCCGCAGGCAGGAGGTGTTCGTACCGCCTTTCTCCAAGGGCAGCGAAGGGATTTTTGGCTGCTGTCTTTTGGCAGGTGTTTAAAAACAGAGATTTAAAGGGTTTGCTGGAAAAGCTCAAGCTGCAGTGCCCGGAGCCCTGGGGTGATGCGGAGCCTGCGCAGTTCAGAGAGAGGAGCAATGGCTGGCCCTGCCTCAGTTTCCCCTTTTGGGAAGTGACCCAGTCTCAGCTCTGTTGAAATACATCATGGCCGATGATTTCTCCTTCTCCCGGTGAGGGCAGCAGGGGCCTGGGGCTCTCTGCCCTGCTGAAGGGCAGCACAGCTCTCTATGGCACCCAGTTAGGAGGCGATAAGAGGGGACGGCATCCCCAGCGTAAGGAAGATCCCTTGAGAAGGATTGGGAAGCATTGTCCCACGCAATTTGGCCCCTAATTCACTCTGAAAATCATCTCTGTGCAGCAGGGTCTGTATTTCTGGAGCAGAGATGGATGAACAAGTCGCTATCGACTTCCACCGACCCACTCGGGCTGGCTTGGTGGGGACGGACGGCTTGTGCCTTGCTCCCTCCTGTTAGCGATATCGTAGTGTCCTCTGCTGGGCACAGCTCAAAGTGGACACGACGTGACGCTTCTCCAGTCCCGGCCTCCTTGTTTTTCTGGTAAGCCAAGGGAAAATGAAGAGCAGGACAAACTAGTCGAGGCTGAGAGCAAAGGGAAAAGGAGAGGAGGAGGAGGGGACCTGGTTTCTGCTGCTGGTTTGCTTCAGCTTTGTTAGAGATCTTTCTGAAATGAAAGCCATGGAATGGGCGTTTTGCATCCTCTTCCTTTTCTCCACCTACACAAGAGGGTTTGAATTGGGGGGAAAAAACCCAACCCAAACAAACGGCTGAATTGGGTTTTTTGATTGGGTTTGGGTTTGTTGTTTTTTTTTTTACTTCAGTTCATCTGATCTGAAATCAAGGGGTTTTTCTCTTGCCCGTGCAGAGGAAGTCACTGGATCGATCCAGAGCCTGTTTGCAGCAGGGTCCTCAGACAACATCTCCGTAAGGACATTTTCAACTGCTTTTTGCATCAGACAGCTGCTGGAAGCCAACCCCGTGCTCGGAGATGACTGAAACCACCGCGGCTGGTGATGCGATGGGCACTGCGAGCTCTCCAGAGGCGCTGCGTAACGTTGCACAGATGCGCTGCTGTCACCTGGCTGCAGCCGGGACAGGCAGAGCTGTCACTCCAGGAAGGTGTGGAGCTGCAGAAGCTGCATGTTAAAAGCAGGTCGCCTCTTACGCACCGTGGGGACTCTCCGTGTGTCCTAAAGATGCGTTTCTCTCTTTACTGGGGCAGGAGGAGGAAAGGGAAAGGCAGAGGATGGAAAGTAACAGTCGGCACCGGTGCTGGACAGTTTGCAGGTGGCGTGGATGCCCACACAAGAATCAGGCACTGCAGAGGATGAGGAGGAGAGGGACTGTTGCCTTGAACTTAACAGCTTTCACTAAAAGCAAGTACTAAAGTACTTGCTTTTTCAAACAGCAGTAGAAAATAACAGTACCAAGTACTTTGCAGGACGCCTGCCGATGTACCGGGATGCCCCAGCCTGTGTTGAGCCCGGAATATTAACTCATGTTTAAGGTCTTTTCTGACTTTTTCTATATGTAGTAGTGGGGACTGTGGCAGCGTCAGGCTGTGACCCCTCAGCAAGGACCAAGGCACCGAGCAGTGAGATAGTAATGCTGAGAACTGGCTTTTGTTCCTGAGGTGGCTTTCACGCCACGGGGGATTGAATCTTTCCCTTCTCCAGCTCTCTCTCCGTGACCCACAAGCGTTCAGCCCCATACCTCTCAAGTCAGAAAACACAAGAGCCGTTATTGTTAGTATTGGGGGTTTATTTGTAGGGCTGGGGTTTAGGTCTTTACCTGAATCTCACTTACAAAGAGTAAATCAGTTGGGTTTTTATAAACATCGCTTACAAAGGTCTCATCACCTAACAGGTACGCTCCAAATACAGCACTGTGCCTGATGGAGAATTTGGGTAAAACACCGGTGGCTTTACAACCACTTCCCTGCCAAAACCTTAATTTTGCTCAGGGTATTGTAAACACGCACAAAACCCATTTGCGATGTGCGTCTAGCTTGGCGTACGTGACACGTATTGTCAGTGTATAACATTTGCCTCTTCTGTAACAACAGCTATACAAAGATTTCAAAGTGCTTGATAAACCTGAGTCTTACAGAGCAAATGGTTCTCCAAAAGGTCTTGAAGCAAAGTCTTATGAAATCCTGATATATCTCCATCGCATATAGAGGTTAAAAAAAAAAAAAGATATGTCACCGTGAGTCCTCTGTACATCAAGACGTGGAAGCCAGGAGCCTTGGGCTTCACACTAATGTCTTCCCAAGTGACTGAAGCACTCCTATGCAAATTATTTTTAGCAACTGATTCTTAATTAAAGGCAAAAATTATATCAGTGAAACAACCCCTCCCCTGGTGCTAGTTTAAAGGAATGCTGTAATTTCTTGACTGAAAGTCAGCAATTATTTTAGTGAAATTTGAGATGTTCTCTGATCCTTCTGGTCTGGAGCAGAGGCCTTATCTCCTACCACTGGTTTCATCTGCTAGTGGGACTTTGGTTTGGTTGACTTTCTTGTTCTTCCCTTCTTACAGCAGCACCTGCGGCAGCAGAACAGGCAGCACTTCAGAGAAATGAAGAGGGAGAGGAGCACCACGGCGAGGAGGAAGGCGATGACGTCCAGGGAGTGGTACTGGATCCAGTTCAGGTCGTGAGCAGCAGGTCGCAGGTGTGGGGCCCCTTTGTGTCTCATTACAAACTCCACCCAGTGTACAGCCAGGTCCAGGGGGTGAATTGGTCTGTCGAGGTGAAGCTCTGAGAGACGCTTGATGTTGTCTTTGTACCTGCCAAGAAAAGATGTTTGGTGTTTTCAGTGAGTTGTGCTGCTGAGAGTGAGCCCCCAGGAAAAGGGGATGCAGTGTCAGTTGTCTGGTGGCCTGCTGGGGGCATCTCTGGTGGTCTTTCCCCAACCACCACCCCCTGAGAAGGATAATGGCAAAGTTATGGGCCCAGAAAAGTGCTGTTGTCAATGACAAAGGAGAAAAGGTATTAGAAAAAGAAGAAAAAGCTTAGTTTGAGCTGTCAGCAAAATCTCTGCGGTGAAGGATGAAGGCATCTGGCTGAAATGTGAGCCTGGGTGTAGAAAAACTGTCCAGCTATAAAACAAGGTGCAGTAGTAGTAGTAGTAGTAGTGCTGTAAGAACGATGGGTAGGAAGCAATGGCAATAAGGTGCCATTTCTCAGAAACACGATGGGGAGGAGATGCCAAGGAGGGGCCCTAATGACAACAGAGAATGGGAGCGGGGAAGAGGAGGGTATGTCTTAAAACACCTTCCCCGTGATGCCTTAAAACACCATGGGCATGCTGACTGCAACACTATGACATCTAGCGTGGTACCCACGCGCGTTCCTCCTGCTCTGTGCTGGAATTGTCCAGCCTTGCTGAGCCAGGCGGCAGCTGGCTGTGCTCAAACAGCTCCTTGTGAGCACTGGGCGGGGTGGGAAATGACTGAGAAAACTGGTCTGTAAAATAAATGAGTGATAATAGCTATGTTGACTAAACCCTACCAGCTGGAAGGCAATGCTTCCCGATGCAGTACAGCTTCTGGACTACACTGAGGCACTGCCACTTGTCTCCTTCCTCCCGCTGCGGTGCAGACAGCATCTCTGGGCAAGCCTCATGCAAAGAAAACCAGCCAGGCAGCTGAGCCTTTCAACCTTTTCAGGCTTCCCACTGACTTATGTCACCCCTGATTTGGGGAACAAAAACAGTTTGCCACATCTCCCTTCACCGATTGCCTTTTCTACCACATTGTGTCAACACCCTCTACATCACTGCCTGGTAAATTTGGCTTTGAGCAGGGGGCACATTTTTTGTTAACTTGATTTTTGCCATCGCACTTATGTTGCATCTTCTCTGATACCTGCATCCTCTCAGATCAACCAGTTCGTGTCACCTAATGATTATAATCCCGGGCAGTGAGAAGGGCAGTGCCGTTACGGGGACAGGACGAGGCTACCCCTGGGCAAGCATCAGCTTCTCAGTGATGTAGCTTTGATATAAGGTGGCATATAAGAACAGATTAACATTCTGTTAAGCTGGAAGCTAGAGTGCTGGTGTTACACAACAGTAGAAGGAGAAAGGCTGTGTTTCTATTACTGACTTTTTATCATTAATAACTGCTTTCAGGGCGGTGGATATGTCCTTCGAAGTCATTTCAAGTATATTCAGTGTCACTCCTGCTCCCCGTGACTCTACTCGCTTGGCGTTGTCCATCTGGTCTCCAAATAATGGCATTAGTACCATCGGCACCGCGTTGCATATGCCCTCGTAAACACCGTGTGAGCCTCCGTGGGTAATAAAGGCACGAGTCTTAGGGTGAGCTGTGGAGGAAGGAAAGACTTGCTTAGCTTTTTGATTCATTAAGCCACAGGAACACATCCCCGGGGAAAAACTTGCACAGAAATGGCACTGGTAGGTATAGATCAAGAACTTTGGGCAGGACATTACAGGAGATTGAGTGAATCTTGGGTCGTAGAGCTCTGTCTTGGTTTGGGTAATCTCCAGAAAGCCTTGGATAATCCTCCAAAGCTTCTCAGATTTTAGAATGAAATCAGAGCCAAGTGATTTTAAAGAGGATGTTACCATCACTTTTTTACCATGTCTTCCATTTGCTGGTTTTGCAGATCTCCCACAGCTGAGCCCTGTTCTCTAACCAACAGATGCACTCCTGGCAATAGCACCTACAATTTAACCACTTGAAAAGCCCGATGACCCGTCTGGAAATGCTCACTCGGGGACCTGAAATTTTCTTTTCAGTCCAGTAGACAAAACTCTGACAAAAACCCCATGGCTGGGTGTTGAGACTGGCTAGTCAGAGACAAAGACACCCCCCCCATTTTTGACAGTAAGGGTAGGCAAGTTTTGGAACACCTTTCCAAACAGTGTTGTTTTATAATTCAGCAATTTTGAAGTTGCAATCAGCTAAGTTTCTAAAAGTCGAGCTCTGGTTCAAACAGCAAAGGCTGTAAGGAAGTCTTGGGACACAGTGATAGAGGGAGTCAGCACAGATGATGCTAATGGGGGCCATACAACAGCAGTATCAGATTAAAAGAAACAGCTGGTATCACTCAAGGTATCTCAGACCTACCCAGAAGATCATTCTGTGGCAGCCATTTGAGGAGCTTTACGTTCTTTGGCAGGTTGGGGGGTACCTCTCCTGTGTATCGCCACAAAACCTTTCAAAAGAAGTAAATATAATGTCAGTTCTCAGCAACTGGCCTCTTTTTTTAGGCACACCTAAAAACATTTGTGGTGCATAAAACTTGTTTTGTCGTGCAGAGCAGCTGGGGTGATTGTTTCTTGTGGCATCAGGGAGCAGGAGAAAGGAGGGAGGACCAAGCGCACTGAAAACCGAAGGTAATCGGGTAGTGTATTTGAAAACAGTCCTGAATTGCTGTGCTGGAAGGGGGAGAGGGAAACCGTACCGTTTGAGAGACTGTTCCCAAGGCATCTGCGATTTCTGTGGCTGTCTTCATAGGAATCTCAGAGACCATGGAGCCCAGCGAGAAGACAATGATGCCGTGTTCTCCAGAGGCATTCACGATAGCTTCAAATTCCTGCCAACACAAAGCACATCCTTAATTAAAATCCCTTCCATGTCATATGCTGCAATTTCTGTCACGTTCCCACAAAAGTATCTGGAAAGGCAATAAAATGAGCAGTCAACACAATGAAATTATGATCAGGAAAATTAGTTATCTATATGAAAATGAGTCCCAGGGAAAACGAATGGGCACAGGTGGATGAACAAAGTTATGGATGCGTGTGCGTGTTTGCAGAATTGAAGCCCAAAGTGAGATTCAGTATGGACACGAGAAAAAATTTACTTTAAAACAGTCATGTAGCAAAGCCTGCCTGCTCAAAGACATCAGTTTCTGTGCAGTAAAAGAGATGCTGTACCAAGACCCAGGTGAATCCATTGTGGTTTATTTGTCACATTTATCACAAGTCAGATACTGTGGCTTTGGAGCTGATGCTCTCCTTTTCAGACCATGCAGCTGCAAGAGAGAATTAAGATCTTGAAAAGTGTTCTGACAGCAGATAGCTCTAATTTCCCATATCTAGATTTACTGGGTCTGCTTTGAGTATGATAATATTGAACTGCTGGCAATTTTTTTTTTATCTGTTTTGTTGGTTTGATTTAAATAAATGAAAGACTAGGAGATCTGTCACTGGAATCCACGAACAAAAGGATTCTGATGAAGCACAAAAACAGTCAAAGGCTGGAGCAAAAATCCTGTGCCATAGAAAAATATTTGGTAAACCCAAGGAAGGAAAGACAAAACCGGAGGGAATTGTTGCAGGCAGAGTTAAATGAGAGGAATAAAATGAACTAAATGTTCCCGTAAGTCTGACAATTGAAATGTTATCTCTAGGGTCTGAGGGGATAACCGAGACCGACCCTCTTAGTTTATGCTCCGTTACTTAATTTTGTGGCTGACCAGAGTGCTGTGGCCCTTCACTTGAGACCGGATCCCAAATAGAAGGAGCCATGGAAGGTCTGGTGATAGCTGCACACTGAAGAGCAGACCTGATACTCTCCTGGGGGCAAACAAGGTGAAATGTAACTCTAACTTCAGGGCTTGGGTCTGTCTCACCAGATTTCTCTGAAGACACGCTCTCCGTTAAGGCATCGTAGATGTCTGGTTGGGAACTCAGATCTTTGTAAACTCACAGACATCTGGGAAACTGCAAAATCCGCCCCAAATTACAAATGTGCTCTTGGTAGAAAATTCTTTGACAGTTCCTGATGTGGTGGACCAGATACGGTGATTTCAGGGCGTATTTAGCTCTTATTTATTTTCTGTGGGACCAGGCACATATTGGTTTTACTCTGTTCTTTAAATGTTTTCGTGTGCTAAGGTTTTCTGCTCAGAAATGCCACTACCATTATGAAACTTTTTGTAGCCCTGCTTTGGGAATAGGTGGGTTATTTTACTAAAGTCTTTTTAACCAGCATCTGCTTGTATTGGTGACCTTTATGAAATACCTGCAGTGGACTCGCACTGAAAAATAAGAGAAAGCACTAAGAATTAGGAGGATTTCTTAGTGGAAAGTGGCAGATATCCCATACTTAGGAAGTCTGACATAGTTCAAGCAAAATATAATTGCAGTCCAGATCTGGGACAGAATATTTTTACACTAAAGAGGTGGATCTCTTGCTGCTTGACTGGGTGGGGGCAATTTCATTCAGGTCTGCCACTGTCTGAAATTCCTGCAGAAATGCTCCTCTGCTCGAGGGCAGAAGACTAGCATGATTTGGCCTCCTGCATTACCCCAGCTAGCACCAAGTCTTGCAAACAAGTGTACAAAATGGAATTACTGGAAATAGGCCAGTATTGAGGGAAAAGCCCAGCTTTTCGTGCATGTTTGTCTGGGAAATCTGGAGGTCTCCCACAAAATAACTTACTCCTCATTGCGCAACGGATGCAGAGGTGCAAAGTGCTTTCTTAGCTGCTTCCACCTCGCTCTTTCTCCTGTTGTTATTTGTTACTGCTGAGAACTCCATCTCATGGTGAGAGCAAACAGTGCAGCCGTAGCTAAACTAGGGGGGGGAAAAAAAAGGTAACTAACCTGTGATAATGCTTTTTCTCGAGTGCAGCTTATGCCTCCGATTAAGACCATATTAGGCATTAAAGGCCTGGAGTACTCAAACACAAAGTCATATTTCATGAGCCAAATGGACGCGTGGCTGAACAGCTCGAGCACTGTTGCCTCTCGTTGGAGGAATTCTTTGATCAAATGATCATACGGTGAATAAAGAAAGCTGCAAGCCAGGGAACTGCTCAGGCTAGCTATGAAATTGCCCACACGCTGGAGAAATGTCATGCGGTCCGTGTAGCGAGTGAAGAACCTAGGAATGTAAGAAGGAGGATTTGGGCAGAGGGTAGCGTGGAAGTCTAGGCTGCACGGCAATCCCCGTACAAAGTACACAGAAGGAAGGGAGAGATGTTCGGCCACTATCTGTCCACATGGAAAAAAAGGATCCATAAAGACAGCATCAAAATTGCTTTCTTCAAGGTATTCAATCAGCTCTTTGTTAGACAGAAGACGTTTGCAGGACTCTAAGAACATGGTTGTAATATTTGCCATTTTGGAGAATTTTTCCAAGAAGGGTTGAGGCGTGAAACTCCTATAGCCCGTTTTTTTAAATTCTGCCTCCACATACTCCTTGGTGTAAGGCACAGAGTATGTTTTCATGGTATAATGCACCGACGAGTCTATCCGCAAATTTATCTCCGGCGCAACCACCACGATTTCATGTCCTCTCTGCCTGAGCCGCTCCACAACCGGGCGCATGCTGAGCCAGTGGCTGCCATCGATAGGTACAACCAAAAGCTTTCCACCTTCAGAAAAGGTCCACAGGAGCAAGAAAAATGTAACCCAGGAGGCAAGAGAATGAAATCCTAGATTTGAAGAAGCCATTTTCCTTGTGCTGGCAGCAAAGTTTTAAACGGCTGCAAAACTACTGCAGGGGACAAGGAGTGAATCGTGGGATACTTTGCAGTTTAATCTTAACTAAAGTAAGTGTTTAATTTTTAACGGACTGTATGTTTGTGGGCAGAAATAAGGGTAATTTTTAACTGTGGGTAAAGGTTGGGTTTACCACCTGTGCACAGCAAAGGCTTTAAGCGACTGGTAAGGATAAAGCTGAGTGTTTGAATTAACATTAGAGGATTCAAATGCTTGAGGGAGAAGCGTCGAGCAATTGGCAGCGTGTGGCACTGACAGAGTCATGAATGGGAGGTAACACCTGCCCAAGCAATCGCTATCTCATTAACACCCAGTTAATGATGAACTCCCTGCCTTGAGTTTGCTCAGCTGACTGGACACAAAACTCACAACAAAAGTCTGACCTTTGGATTACCCTGTGCTCTCAGAGTCTAAACAAGAAGCAATGATTGACAGAGATTTGATATACAGTGGGTTGATAAGGTTTATCTTTAGATTTGTCTCTATATTGTAGCTGTTGTCAAAGTGAAAGCCCCGAGCCTACAGTAGGAAATGTGACGCGAGCTTAGCAATAACTTCTGCTGTTTGCAACACCACCGTGGTCTGAAAAATAAAATAAATGCAGTATTTATACTGCCCTTTAAGGAGATCGAAACAAGCTAGGGAGGGAGGGTTGACAGGTAGAATTCTGAGGCTTCTTTTTCCTAGTCATCCTCTTATGTGCTATCTTACACTGCTTCTTACACAAATTCAGAGGCAAAAGAGCTCCCTCTACCATCTTCGATTGCATACACCTGGTTTTGGGGTATTCATCCACATTACCAATCTCCATGGCACACTATAAGTGCCTGGGTATATACAGAGAGTTTGTTCCACATTTCCATTTTTTGTCAAGTCAATTTATCAATATTCCACAACTGTTAGGGATATTAAATCGTATGACGTGGAATTATTTTGTCATTTATCTAGATATAGCATCCATGATTGTCTAATATGATGGTATTATGCTTGCAACAAGCCACCCTATACCTAGGCAGCTACACAGCTTCGACAACATAGCTCTCCCGGAGAGAAAACCCTTCAGCAGCTTGCAGTGCAGGTCTTGTGGTCATCTATCAGAGCCTGAGATTCCCACTTCCAAATCATGCCATCCTGGTATTTGATCACATATTGGCTCAAGCACAAATACTCTTATAGGAAGCACTTAAACAAGCAAATCTGAAATAATCTCTAATAAATGCTGTAATACCCTCAACGTAAGTAAACAAGGACAAACCTTTGATAATGGGTTCTTCTCCTCACAGTTGATGCCTCCAATATAGACCATATTGGGCATTATTGGGCGCGGATACTCAAAAACAAAGTCATATCTCATCAGCCAAACAGACGCTTTGCTAAACAGTTCCAGTACCGTTACTTCTCTGTGAAGAAACTCAGAAGCTAAGTTCTCGTATTGTAAATAAAACAGGTAGCAAACCAAATGCTCTGAAAACCCAACCAGGAGGTTCTTCACACGCTCCATAAATGTCATGTGATCTGAATTGGATGTGAAAATCCTTGGCACATAAGAATAAGGACTGGGACACTGAGTGGCTTTGTAGTCTAAGGTACACGGAAGACCACGCATGAAGTACACTGAAGGGAGGGAGAGATATTCAGCAACAATTGGTCCACAAGGCAACACAGGATCCATCATAATGGCATCAAATTTGCTGTCCTGGAGGTACTTCATTAGTTCTTCATCATGTAAGAGATGCCGGCAAGTGGAAGAGAACATGTTGGTCAGTTCTGATATATTGCTGAGTAAAATTGTAAATTTTTCTAGAATGGTAGGGTTTTCAAAACACTTTTCACCAATGGAATGGTAGTATCTATCCACAAACTCCTGTGTGTAAGGCACAGAGTAAGTTTTGATGGTGAAAGATTGTGAGCTTTTCATGAGCAAAGTGGCTTCAGGAATCACTGCAACAACTTCGTGCCCCCTCTCACGGAGTTTCTCCAGAACCACACGCATGCTCAGCCAGTGACTTCCATCCTGGGGCACGACCAAGAGCTTCCCACCTTCTGCCAAACTCCAGAAAGAAAGAAAAAGGACGAGCCCAGCGTGTATCTGGTACCTCCACATAACTGTCATGGGACTGTCGGCAGGAAAAGAAAATAACTCTTCCTTCTTACTTCTTCAAGCAGCATATGAATGCAAAAAATAGTTGTACCTCATTTATAACTTGATGGTCTTTAATCTTTATGTCTACAAAATGTTTACTAAGACAGGTTGTTGGAGTTCAAAGATCATGCTTTATATGGTGATAAAAGCATTGATAAGAGTGCTATCAAGGGATCTAAAGGAAGAAGCAGTTCCATGTGCTTACACTATCTTAAATGATTCAGAGCAATTAGCAGGGTCTTTGATTAGCAGAGGTAGCAGTTGTTTGTAAAGGGATTTTTCTGGATCAGAGTTGTTTGAAGCGAGTCACTGTGCACTCGACTGTCCTGTGCCAGATTAAAGTCAGGAGTACTCCTTCCCAACTTTCGTGGCCAGTCAGCTTCTCCATCCCTGGAGGTGTTCAAAAAACATGTAGACTTGGCACTTCGGGACATGGTTTAGTAGGCATGGTGGTGTTCGGTTGACGGTTGGACTTGATGTAGAGGCTTTTTCCAATGTTTATGATTCTATGGTTCTCCAGAGAGCTTCTAATACGAGAAGCGTGTTGCACTATTCACATGAAAGACCTAACCTCCAACGTTCTCTCTTACACCTTTGCTCAGAAAGGTCCCTGGAGTTCACACAGGACATTCCACATGGCAAGCAGGAGCTGACGCACCAAGCAGTGGTGTCACCAAAGTTTGGGTAACATATTAACCAAACACCTTTTTATACAAACAGTGATCCAGCAGAATATGCAGTTCTTGCTCAAGAGGGGCCATAAGAGTTTGTAGGCAAGTGGCTTGAGGCCAAACATCTTTTTGAAAACAATGATGCAGCAGAATACGCAGTTCTTGCTCAAGAGGGGCCATAAGAGTTCATAGGTGAGAGGCTATGGGCCAAAGGTTTTTGAAAGTTCTTAATAATAGCTGTTTTTCAAAAGAACTTAATAAAGCTTGGCTGTGGTATAAGCCAAAAGAGAAGTCCACGCTTGTATCCCATGCTTACCAGAAGAAGGGAAAATCAGAGTTTCTGAGCTGCTTCTGCATGTGCTATGATAAGATCTTTAAGGAAAAAAAAAAAAAAAACAAACCCAAACCATCTTGGAAGTCCTATTCTCTATAACACTCGACCACAGCCTACAGCTACTCGATGGGGAGTAACAATGATGACAGAGCCAAACTTTTCTGGGTAGCAGTAAATAGTATAATAAAAGCCACAAATGGCAGTTTGGGAGATTTGGACTGAACATATAGAAAAAGCTTTTTTACCTCTGAGGTTTTGAAGGTTTGCCCATATAACAGCACGGGTGACATGATCTGATGTGGAAGATAGTCCCACTCCAAGGACTTGTTTAGATATCCAAATCAGGTTGATTTAAATGAGATTTAAGTGCCTAATTATTCTTGAGAACCTGGGTTGAAGCTGCAGCAACTGATGCAATGGATACTCAATGGGTAGATAGATGGGTGAATGAAATAGGTGCCTAGAAACAAAGCAGTGTCCTTAGATAGTGAGAACATGCAAAGGCACGTGAAAACGTTAAAGATAAATGTAGAAAAGCAGGTATCTGCAGTTTGTTCTTAAAAGAAGTGCCTGACCAAGCAGATTTTATCTGCCATTAAGGCACATTTCATGGAAAGAGAAAAGGTGGATGCCAAAGGTTTGCAAGTTTTCAAAAGCAAACCAAGATACAGGACTGGTAGCTGAACAAGAACAATTGCTGGCTGGAGAAGAAAAACATTTGAGATCCCCAACAAAGCATACCTGGTTGGAGAGAGCTCTGTATGGTTTCTTCACACTGTGCAGCAGCCTGGAAGTTGTCCTGGAGCAGGTAGGGGTGATGGGTATCTGGTTCATGAAATGTCTACCTTTGCCAAAGGTACCTGGGTGTGATAAGCACATTTCAAGGCTAATACTGTGTCCTAAAAGGTTTATTTTGATAGGAAGTTCTCCACGTGGCATGTTAAAAAAGTGATTCTTTTCCAGCAAGAAGAACTATAATACCTAAGGAAACTGCATTAAAGAGGAAGGAGTGTCAGACATCAATACAGTCCCATTCTGCAGCCTGTTAAAGCAAAACTTTCTAGCTGACAGTGAGGTGATATTAAAAGACCGAAACCTAAAGGAGGTGGACAGAAGGTATGCTCATGTGCAGTACCTATGTGTACATTTTCACATTTCAGCGATAAAAAGATCTCGCAGTAACCAGGCGATGCAGCATTACATATGCCCTAAGGTGGCAGCATACACTCACGTATTACCCCAGAGTTGCAGACATACTGTTAGCCTATGGTAACCCATAACAGGCCCCCAAATCTCATATTTGATATATAGTAGTCTTTAAGTTCTGCTGACATTTCAGCCAAACACGATTTAGCTGTGTAACACCAATCTATAATGCAATAAAACAACATTAAAGAGGTAAAAACCCAAACCGAACCACCTTAAGGCTAATGGCATGTTCTTAAGAGTTTAAAAGTTGTGTCACTGGATTTTGAGCAACACACAATTTCACATGTATATGAGTCCAGAGACTGAAGTCCACAAGCTGAACAGCAAGTTCGGCCCATTCCAAAGGCAAGGGTGAAAAGAGATATCTGTCAGGAGAAAGTAAAGCTTAAAGTACAAAGTTGAGTGCCACTGTTTTACACTGGTTTTGTCTATAAAAAAAATCTGCTGGTATTGAGAAGCGGATATTTGTTTTGTTTTGTGCATGGAGTGAAAAAATACAGCCTTTTATTTCCTGTAAGCTTGCTGCCGCCTCATTTCAGTGTTAGTCATAGGTCAAGTATTGGGAGAAACTGCGTGTCAGTTCCCCTTTCACCTTCGCGACACTTTTCAGGATTTTATAGACCTCTGTCGTAGTTCTTTTCATAGGTTTAGCTATACGGTTTATTCCATCTCTGTTTTTCTAGAGAGTGTCAAGTTTGAATCCTCTTAAAAATGCTTCATTTTTACGGCGTGAGATTCAGCTTTTTCTGAAAAATAAGCCCTATTTCACTGTTTTGCAAAGTCAATATCTGAAAAACTTACTTAACAGGAATAGTTATTTCTCAAAATAGAAGCTATGATGTTATTTTACAAACAACAAAATGTATTTGAATATATATTTAAAAAATCTGAAATATATCCAACATTCATTTTATAAGAATAAAGTCAGGTAAATCACACTTTATTCTTATGATGCCAGTTGATACTTCAAATAAGGAGCATCACTGGCTTGGGATACACAAAAAGAATGCCACAAGCTGGAGAAACGGGCCAGGAGGAGCCTCATGGTCAGCAAAGGCAAAAGCAAAGTTCTGCTGCTGGGATGGGATAACCCCATGCCACAGGACAGGCTGCACTCCAGCTGGACAGACAGCAGCTCTGCCAAAAATGACCCTGGAGTCCTTGTGGACAAAAAGTTGAAGATGAGTCAGCAGTGTGCCCTTGCAGCCACAGAGGCAAGAGCATCCTGGGCTATACGAGTAAAGGTGCAGCCAGCAGCCGGAGAGAGGTGATCCTCCTCTGTTAGCACTTGAGAGACATCTGAAGCACGTACCCAGCTTGGGGCTCTCCAGTACAAGACAGACATTGACTTGCCGGAGGAAGTCCAGCAAAAGCCAAGAAGATGGTTAGGAGCTGGGGACCATGACGTAGAAAAAGAGGCTGAGAAAGATGAGCTTGCTCAGGATTCAGAAGAGAAGGCTAACAGGAGATCTTATTTCTGTCTTCAACTCCCTTCGCAGGAGGGCATAAAGAAGACAAAGCCACGCTCTTCTCACAGATTCACAGGGACAGGACGACAGGCAACAGTCACAAGTTGCAACGTGGAAAATTTGAATGGATACAATAATAAATTTGGTATACTAAAGTGTTTTCACTGTAAGGGTCAGAGGGGATATTCAAAACTTGACAAGGCATGGAATGGAACAACCTGAACTAACCAGACATGCTTTGATTAGGAGGTTCACTGAGAGGCCTGCAAGTGACCTTCCAAACAAAAGTTATTTTATGAGTCTATGACAATTCAAAAGGAAAAGAGAAGGATTCAAGAGAATCCTTCTTTAAAGAAAAAAAAAAAGACAGGAACATAGAGGAAATCAGCAATGACAAGTTGGACCACAGGATGAGCAAAGGTTCCTCAAATGAAAATCTGCACCACATCAACAGCCCTGAGTGAAGAGGCCCTGAGCAACCTGCTCTAATGTCAAAGCTGGCTTTGAGCTGAGGCACAAGGACAATGGGAAGTTTCCCAGACCTAATTCCATACACAACTTTCTCTATCTTTATACTGTGATATTCAGATGCCTTCACTGAAACAAGTACTGGCACCTCTTTGCAAGGCAAAAGGGGTTTGAAATCCTTCTACTATCATTAACAGAAAGAGACCTTTCTAACACAACCTGAGTATGTAAGAGCCTGCAAGAATGACAAGAAAAAAATACAGTAGGACTCACCTGAGTTAGCTTCTTATGAGCACAGTTTACTCCACTAACCATAATCATGTTGGGCATCAATGGTCTCGGGTAGTGTAAAACAAAGTCTAGCTTCATGAGCCAAATGGAAGCCTGACGTAAGAGATCTGGCACAGTCACATCTCGCTGGAGGAACTCAGAAGCCAGTTTTGCATATGGGTGAAAGACAACATCACAGAGAAAATAATTTGGGATTTCAAAGATCAGGTTCTTCACCCGCTGGAAAAAGTTCATGCGGTCTGTAAGGTCTGTGAATACCCTGGGGACATAAGAAGGGGGATTGGGACACTGAGTGGCTTCAAATTCTAAACCACATGGAATTTGCTGCAAAAAAAACACGGAAGGGAGTGAAAGATGCTCAGCCAGTATCTGCCCACAGGGTAGTATTGGATCTGTAAAGACAGCATCAAACTTGGTCTCCTCAAGATATCTGACAAGCTCTTTGTTGTACAGTAAGCGTGTACAGGTAGACAGGAACATGGCAGAAGTATTTTTCACTCCTTCATATATTTGAAGAAACCTTTCCAGAAAAGATCCTTCTTGAAATATATCCTGGCTAGTTCTCTGGAAAATATGATCCATCTCTTCCTGTGTGAAAGGGACCGGGTACGTTTTCATAACAAAATTCTTTGTTGGCTTTATGTACAAACTGATTTCAGGTGCAACGACGACTACTTCATGCCCCTTCTGCCTGAGACCATCCAACACTTCCCGCATGCTGAGCCAATGACTCCCGTCCACCGGCACCACCAGCAGCTTCCCACCAGCAGCCAAACCGAGCACGGACAGGAGCAGAACCAGCGTCGCCGTGACTTGCGGATGAGTGCTAAGCACTGGGGCCATGTCTGCAGAAATCTGGTGAGTGCTGCCCAGAACGAAAACCGCTGGTGGCACTGAAGCTACAGCACCAGCTCTGAGCTTTTAAGCAATCTGTGCTACAACATAACTTTTGATCCTTCAAGGTATTTGCTTTGTAGTAAATGTATAATCACCGAGTTCATAAAAGGCTACTTAGCAAGTACTAAGTTCAGCTAATTACACAGGCTAGTGGTGTGTGGTGGATAACCACCATCTGTTTCTATTAGATGAACAGTAAAGAGTGTCCCAGGAAGGAGCAGGGGTGGTTCTGGATGAGACTGCACTTCTGAGAGCTTCACCCTGGCTGACCCTTTTGCACATGCAGGAGATTTGTCACATCCATGTCACTATTCAACCTAGCCAAGGCTGCTCCCCTGGCCAAGACCTGTCCCATATCTTTTGCTTCACAAAGCAAATGTTGCCACGGACCCTTGCTGCTGTGGCAAGTCAAGAGAAGAATCTGCTGTAGGAACTTGGTGGTTCTCCTAGCAGCAGATAGTGAGAGAAGGCCCACAAGCATAGAGTCATCCTTTAAGTAAAGGCAAATGGGAAAGAGCATAGCTGGAGTTTCACAGGTGACTATAGTCAGTGCTCTCATGGATATCAAAATGTCTTATGCCCTTCCCACCATCTTTTCTTTCTCCTAGCTCTAGCAAAGAAGTTGAATTCATCAGTTGGTGGCAGGAGGTGTTTGGGGGGAGGTATCTGAGCAAAGCAATCCCATTCAGTCAGACCTTCCACAAATCTATGTGGACTTCAGCAGAGCTAAGCCCATTCAAAACACCACTCCCGTTTTTATGCTGTGATACTCAAGATCTCTTCGCTGAAATTAGTACTGGCACCTCTTGGCAAAGGAAAAGCAGTCTGAAGCAGTTTACTATCCCTCAGAGACCTTTCTAACAAAATCTGTGCTACAGAGTTCTCCAGCGAACACAGGAGCATGACCCACCTGAGTTAGCTTCCTGTGAGCGCAGTTTAGTCCTCCAATTATGATCATATTAGGCATCGATGGTCTCTGACAGTGGAACACAAATTCTAATTGCAGAAGCCAAATGGAGGCATTGTGTAAGAGATCTAACACAATTACATCCCGCTGGAGTAACTTAGAAGCCAGTTTTATGTATGGTTGAAAGAAAAAAATCACAGAGAAAATAATTTGGGACATCAAAGATCAGGTTCTTCACCCGCTGGAAAAAGTTCATGCGGTCTGTATGCTCTGTGAATAACCTGGGGACATAAGAAGGGGGATTGGGACACTGAGTGGCTTCAAATTCTAAACCACATGGTATTCCTCGTAAAAAAAAACACGGAAGGTAGGAAAAGATGCTCAGCCAGTATCTGCCCGCAGGGTAGTACAGGGTCTGTAAAGACAGCATCAAACTTGCTCTCCTCAAGGTATCTGACAAGCTCTTTGTTGTACAGCAATTGTGTACAGCTGAGGATTACCAAATCAGAGAGAGTTTTCATACCCTGGTATACTTTAAGAAATCTTTCCAGAAAAGATCCTTCTTCAAGTACATCTCGTAAAAATGCCTGGAAATTTCCATCCATCTCTTCCTGTGTGAAAAGGACCGGGTATGTTTTCATAACAAAATTCTTTGTTGGCTTTATGTACAAACTGATTTCAGGTGCAACGACGACTACTTCATGCCCCTTCTGCCTGAGACCATCCAACACTTCCTGCATGCTGAGCCAATGACTCCCGTCCACCGGCACCACCAGCAGCTTCCCACCAGCAGCCAAACCGAGCACGGACAGGAGCAGAACCAGCGTCGCCGTGACTTGTGGATGAGCGCTAAGCACTGGGGCCGTGTCTGAAGAACATAACGTTTGATGCTTTGTGGTAAAAGTATAATCACTGATTTGATAAAAGGCTGGAAAACAAGCACTAGAGTTCAGTGATCTCTGCCGGCAGTTGGTAAAAGTGGTGGATGCACCAGATAAGCCCCATCAGTTTCTATCAGAAAAGCTTTGGCAGCTGTATTGCCTTTGAGCAGGATCTGCCAGGCCACCACAGCCCCTTCAGGCTCATCAAGATTGATTTTGTTCTCAGATCTCACATGGCCATCACCAAGGCAAAAATCCTCTGAGGCCTGTCTGTAAACAGAGACAGTGCTGCTTAGCCTGAGAGTCCACAACCTGAGACATTTCTGCTGATTCCAGCTTTGGAAATACCCATGTGATGGAGCAGACTAATTAATTGACAAAGAAAGAAGTGGTAAGGCAGCAAGGGTGTCCCAGGACAGAAGCCTGACGTGTTTCTCTGTAAGTACCAGACCCTACTACAACAATTTGCAAAGCTGTATGGATTATACCTAACTGCGAGGCTTTGACAACCCCTCAGACTTGTCTGCTGCTCTTCCATTGCTCACTAAGGGAGAAAGAGAGCACCAAGTTACTCAATGTTACACAAAATGGCTTTGAATCCTTGCAATGAAAAAGGCATCAACTGAGCATACTTCATCAGTGAGAACCCATAGCTGCCTACACAGAAAATGGAAAGTGAGGAAGAAAGTGGGAGAAAAATTATTTCTTTCACGAGTATTTGTCTAACTCACCCTAAATGGGAACTTGATTCCGATCCACAACACAAAATTCCACCCTTGTTAACACAGAATTTTATCAGAGCAAGAATTAAAAACAGAGCATGACCTACCTGAGGTAGCTTCTTGTGAGCACAGTTTACTCCTCCAATTGCAATGATGTTGGGCATCAAAGGTCTTGGATAATCTAACACAAAATCTAACCTCATGAGCCACACGGAACCCTGGCGTAAGAGATCCAGCATAGTCACATCCCGCTGGAGGAACTCAGAAGCCAGGTTTGCATATCGTTGAAAGACAACATCACAGAGAAAATAATTTG